TATTAGTTATATGCTAAAACTATTTGAATAACTTCAAGAGTAAAGCCCAACTGTAGGCTGCAAGACCACTCGGATTTAACACTCCAAAATCCACCAAACATTCTCAGAAGATCCTGCAGCCAGGATCTCAGTAACTAGTTCTGAGTAACTCCAAAGAGAGGAGGGAGGAATATCAATTAAATGGGCACCCGGATGAATTTCTGAAGTTATGGTTCATTTTCTTGTGGTTGACTTAATATAAAGCTGTTAACTCACACCAGTTGCCTCATGCCCCAGACTCACCATCTAGCTTTTTCAGCGTGGGTACCCGTTTGGTTGCTTCTTCAATCCAATTGTTCTGATCAGAGGCGTATTTCTCTTGTAGTGGATTGCCTACAAACACCAGATCCTCTAGTGATGGCAGCTCTGCCAGTCTCACAAACTCTGCTGCAACCACAAAGGTGAAAACACCAACCAGATTGTGGAACATGGAAAGGACATCTGCACCAAACCTTCCTTTCAAACTCAGTGCTAACGAAAATGACATGGGACACAACAGGACAGGAATTGCTTGGGCACATTGGTATCACATTAAAGCATTTTTTAAAAAGTCCGAGAAAGATGATTCAAAGAACAAACTCCACTGGGCTTAGAAGTTAAATTCAACATTCTAACTATTTCTACTCTCTTGCATGAGTGGATATTTAGGGATTCTGTGCGTGCCTGCAGGCTTCTCAGTGAGACTTAAAGCCCTGTAACATACAGAACTGTTTTTTACTTAGTGACTTAACTCATGCATTCACCATGCTACAGGAGAAGTTACAGAACAGGGAGGTGTGGCTTACCCCAGTCTTTCACCAAGTTATTTGACATATAAAGAACCTTCAGCTTCTTCATTACACGGATACCTCTCAGTTTCTCAATGAAGTTGTATGAGATCCACAGCTCCTCTAAAGTATCTCCAACTGCCTCCTGGAAAATGACAGGATTACTCAGGTAAGCAGAAGTGTATCTTCCTTATTCTTCAGATTCTTTCTTTACCCTACAGGTCACCTCATGTGAGAAAGTACTAAGGTGTATTGGTGCCCATTTACTTTTAAGCAGGACCCTAATTATGCACTACAAATGTTAATGAGAATTAAGAGCAAAGGATCTGAAATACATTTAGGAGGAGAGAAACCACAATATTAAGACAAGGAATAGCTGGCTGGAGTAGTTGTTCTTAAGGCACAGGGGCAGAGCAGACAAATTTGGCTGCTTGCACACTGCAAGCATACATGAAGTGAACGCAATTCAACAACTGCTTCAGAAGGGGTTTTATAGAGTATGAGGGAATTATTAATTTCAGGTGCATGTATATTTGTACCTGTCAGCCAGAAGTTACTTTCATAATTCTCTCGAAAGACAACTTTTTTAAACCAGTCATTACACACTGACTCTGCATTTCACACTTAAGAGAGACAGCATCTCTGAAGGTGGGAATGGCTTTAAAGAAAAACATTCTGTGGGAGAAACATACCGTATCTCTTGAGGAAGAAAAGGATTTCTATATCCATTAAGAAAAAGTTGACTGAAAAAACGTTCTTCTGCCCTTAATTCAATTGTAATAAAATTGATCCAATTTGTTCCTCAACATTTTTTTCCCTACCTGGTAGGACTTAGTCCTGCCACCATCTTCTCCCCTAAAGCCACATTGCTCCGGGTGCCCGTTAACATGACAAAGACAGACTCTCATGAAGTGTGTGTTCATAAAACTGCTCATATGTGTAGTAAAGAAGCATAGCCTCAGTATCTTCAAGTAGAAAATTCCTCACGCAAGAAGTCCATAGGAATTATTTCCATGTAAAGCCAGTGGAATTTAAAGGGCTTTAGAGATAGACAGCAGTTTTCGAATAAAAGTTCTGCTCATCTTTGTCAAAGATGATGAAATCTCTCTTTCTAAAATCCTTTAATGTAGTAAATTAGCCCTGAAGAATCTCCAAACATGAAGAGTGTTTAAACAAAACAAAAAAGGATAAATACTATCTGAAAATTCAGAAGCAATGTGTAAGAGGGTGAACAGATCACAGTGAAAAGAGAAAATAAATAGTTAGGCAATAATGTAAATTAAGTAAAGACTTCTGTGAACACAGTGGAGTTATCCCACATCCCAGACAGCACTCCATTTTCTTAGCAAAGAATTTTTACTAAGAGGCACATACCAATCCATTCAAGTTCTTTATGTTATTTCTCCCCAAAGACAGAATCCTCAAATTTTCTGTAATGGATAAAGGAAAGTTTTTTGTTAATAAATGTTACTTGGTTGGGGATTTTTAATAGAAGATGCTCTAAGTCAGGTAAAACATCATATTCTACTTACAAACAGACTGCCCTCTGAACAAGCTGCCTTAAGAAAGAAGAAGATGTAACAGAAACCAAACCTTCTGACCTACACAAATCACCATCAGGAATGGAGGCAGTGGACAGCTCAGAAACACAGTCATGAATACAAAGCTGCTCGTGTGTAGGTTACCTGGCTGAAATTCAGTCCAGATAAATACTGAGTAAAAATTACTACTTCACCTTGCACCCAAACTAACTGCTAGTTCACACCTCTTCTTCCCCAGGCAAAAATTGTTCCAATCTTATTTTAAGGCAGCAGTTTTGATTTCTGTAATAAAGGCAACATATCAAGCTGCCTTACGGAAGTCTGATGAGAGACATTTCAACTTAATCTAGCACCCAGACAAAACTCCTTTCCAAGTGATCTGTTCTTGCTGGGGTTTAGTGTAACACTGGTGTAACAAACACAAAGCCATCACAAAACAGCAGTCTTTCTGTAGACCTCATTTTCAGTTTTCACACAAGCTTTCTTGCAGGAGTAAATAAGCAAACTGAGTTGCAGCACGTAGCTGGGTTAACTTTGAATCTATACCTTTCATTAATGTTTTAACACTTCTTCTCAACTGCATTAAAGATGAAATACTTAAATGATCTTGTTTTGCTCTTGTATGCGCAGTGACTGAAAATACATAGCACTATAATTAATGGCAAGATCAAGGAGAGTTCCAGCCAAGTAGCAGCAAATAGTCCATAGCTGGCACATGCAGTGGCTGGAGATTACTATGGATGAAGATTCAAGGCTGATCTAGAATAGGTAGCTTTATGTTCTGGCTCAAGACGTTGGGTCATTCCACTTTGCAGAGGACTGGATTGAAACCACATCTGATAAAACAACACCTGGCAAATATTCTAAATCAGGAAGATTAATTTTCATCAAAACATCGACGTACATTAAGAATTCTTTTTCTTTTTAAACACAACAGCTTAATACATGACAACGCTCAAAAAACGAAGACTCACAATCAGTAAGTCCAAAGCCTACTAGAGCTAATACTCTTCAGAATATCCCTAAGGATCCCCATCCCCAGGGGAAAGCACAGGGATGGCCTTTTGGCCTAGCCAGCTATTCTCTCTGTAACTCACATTTAAAAACTGTGAGTTTGCACCAGCTTTTGAAATTTGTAAGAAATGAAAGAATATTTACAAATAAAAAAATGACAGATTGCTTAAAAAGCCGTGCCTTACAATGGTTTCCATTACTCTTGCTCTGAGATATTTTACATTTTCAAGGAAGGAAGATCTCCCTCCTGGAACGCTTACACTCTCTGAAACACAAAAGTAACATGCGTTGCTGTCATCTAAAACATCTTCCTCACATGTACAGATAAAGGGCTGTGATCCTTTACACACAATTATCTACTTGACAGAACTGCAATATCAGGTATATAAATTAATAGTCATATTTTCTAACTGAAAAGAGTGCAGATGCTTAAAAAGATTTCTCCGCTTCCTCTCTGCAATAAGCAAAAGCAAGTATGTAATAATTAGTGGCTTGCTTGTCATAGCTGTAAGCACTGCCTGCTTTCTCTTTCAAAGAAGCCAGCAGAGATGGTGAGTTCCTCGTATTCTGGACCTTTAAGAGACAGACCGCGTAGTTGTAGTTTGCCTGCCTTTAGGATCAAATATTTGGTACAGACTGGATGTTTTGATTCTACATTTATTAATATAAATATTGAAGATGCTTTAAAGGCTTTTAATGTTCTATCCCAGTAAAACTTATCACAGAATACTAGGAGTTGGAAGGGACCTTGAAAGATCATCTAGTCCAACCCCCCTGCCAGAGCAGGATCACCTGGACCAGGGTTTTCATTAGTTTCACTTTTATATATAATTGGTTTTTGCTTGTGATCGAGTTACTCAAATTGAAATACTACAGTAATTTGGAAAGACTACTGGAATATTTTTTTCCCCAATTAGTACTTGCAAATTTTTTGAAGTCTAATATATTATGAAAACAAGTAAGTTCATGAAGCTACTTGACAGCCCCATAGGTATGTAGTTGAAGAGGATGGGATTCCACGTTCCTTGCCTGGCAATCTGATCAGGACAAAAAAGCCTGGAAGCTCCAGCCCAAAACCTGCAGCTCTTTGCCAGCCTCACGCCATAGAGTCAAAGTCTTGAGGGCAGACCATTAAGACTTCTGTCCCAAAGTCAGTAACCAATGAGTTTCAAGGCTTCATAGACAGCTGCCCAAGGACTAGAAGTTCAGTCCCGCTTTTAGAGAGATGGCACATGCCTTTCAAGTCCAAACAAAATCAAACCAAGCACATCCAGTCCTCTGCAAAGTCCAATGACATTTTTCCATCCAGGCCTACAACACTCCAAGCTCACTACATCCAATGTCACAATTACAGAGTTGTTGAGCAGCAGACTGTCTCCATCACGGGCATGGAAATGGGTCATTAAATCACTCTAGAACTGATGAGGTGTTGCGTATCACAACTAGGTGCACTGGAGGGTACAAAGGTACTTTCTGAATGGATTTTTTTGTTTTTGTTAAACCCGCACAGTGAGACAACTGCCAAGGCTAGTGCAGGAATACACACTTTAATACTTCATTACTGCTAAACATGCATTCTCCAGTAAGACTCATAATTTGGAAGCTCACTCGTCATTTTCTAAGAGGAAGGAATTCCAAAGAATAGGCGTAAACCTAGACACATATAACAAATTACAGTATATGTGCTACCCAAGCAACTAGAAAACAAACAATTGATCACTGGCTTGTCACTTACTTAGGTTGCTCAAGTTGGCGATTCTTTCAATGCAGTTTGTAGACAGCGACAGTTTCCTTTAAAAGGAAGAATAATCAATTCACAGTATACAAGCGATCACTGTATCAGAGGAGCTCCACATCCAAACACCACTGCATTAGAAATAATTGTCTGTTCTCATCTCATTAGATGGTGAATTAACTTGATGTGTAAACAGACGTAAAATATCCTCAACCCATCAAGGCTTCTGCAATTTTGTTTAGCTCCAGAGAAAGTATCATGACCTACACCAGATTATCTTTTTATGCCTAGCCTTATCAAAGACATAGACATTTATTTCTGAAATGGCTCTAATCTGTTTCTGAAAGTCCTGCTAAGCCTCCATGTTTTTGGCATGCATTGTGGAATTGATCATAAATGCACCAGTTAGCTGACAGAATCCAGACAGGGACCTGTAATTATATACTGATAAACAATTAATCTGGGGACAAACATCAGTACAGATTCTACCCTAAAATCTTCTCCATTAAGTGACAGGGATCTTTGAATTAAAAAGAAGAACTGTGTGTGGAAAGAGAAGCTCAGCTGAGAAAAAAGAAGAGAAAGCTGCTGCTTTGGAGGCCACTTAAAGATAGAAAATACATATTTGCACAGTAGACAGCAGAAACACTGAAAATTAATACAAAGAGAAGAGGATATTTGGGTTCTAGTTTGTCTTTAACTGAACTTACTCGCAGTTAACAAGCGTGGAGAGAGATTCATCCATCTTCTCTACAGGAGGAATCTGACCGTACAGTTTTACCTCCTTTGCCTCTGAAGCTTTCTGGCCATTTTTTTCTTCCTAAAGAAAAGAGAAGGTGAAGGAGAGGCTCACTGCTATGTGCAATTACTAAAAATTACTATGCTAAAAATTACTATGAAAGTAATCACTATAGATAATCTCAAATATAAAAGGTACCACTGAAAAGAGAGGGCATTTTGAATGCTG